TTCCTTCCACTTGGGAAGGCATGCTACTCTAGGAGTAACCATCTGACTCCTCTTGAAACAGGAATATGCAACACTGTGCAGCAGGTTTGTGAGGCTTGCTCTTTATGTTCATGCAGTAACCCTGAGCCTATACTCCTTCTGCTGGTGGAACCCATCCTAATGAGAGGAACTTACCCAAGGAAGACTGGCAGATGGACTTTATTCCTGTGCCTCCTTGCAAGGCTACAAAATTTTGTTGGTTCTAGTGGCTACCTTCACCAAGTGGGCTGAGGCCTTTCCATCCTAAAAGGAAAGGTCTCTGAAAGTACTCCCCAAGATCATTCCTAGGATTGGACTTCCAAGTTCTCTCCAATGTGATAATGGACTAGCATTCACCTCCCAGATCACTCAAGCAATAACCAGAGCCCTAGCAACACTTACCATTTATTCACCACTTGGAGGCCTCAGGCCTCAGCAAAGATGGAAAAAGCTAATCAAATTCTAAAACAGATTATGGACAGACTGTTAGGAAACCTAAGAGAAATGGCTCACCCTTCTACCCATAGCTGTCATGAAGCTAAACAATACACAAAAATTTAAGATCCTTTATGCCCATATGAAATCCTGTATGGAAGGCCATTTTCTTTCTAATACCTGATAGTGGATTTAGAGGCCAGGGAATTGACAATGTAAGTAACCCATTTAGGACAATTCCAGGAGGCCATAAAGGAACTAGGGTAAAGATCATGTCTGGTCCTCAACCAGGGGGAACACATCAGGTAAGGCCTGGGGAGCAGGTGCTCATTTGCAACTGGTGGGAGACACCACCCCGGGATCAGTTGCCACCAAAGTGTAAGGAGCCACATCCAGTGATTTGGGCCACTGTTAGAGCTGTAAAGGTCCAGAGAATAAATAACTGCATTCACTTCTCTAGGTGAAGTACAAGCCAAAGGAAAGATTCCCTGATGCACAGAAACCTGAGCCTGACTATACCTGTGAGTCCCTGGAAGATTTGAAATTCCCCTTCAAAAGAAAAAGCCCAGAGCTTCAGCAAACAGATATGTAATGCTAAATTCCTCTAACTCGTCTACTTTAAAACACCTCCATTGCTGGGCACTTCTCAGACCGTGACTCTTGTTTATCATTTTGACTGCTGTGGTAGGAACTGTGTTTAGCCCCAAGGATGGAATTAAGTCAAATACTGTTCAAATTCATCCCCCTAGCACTCCTCTGAGTCCTCATATGTTGCTCCCTCCAACCACGGTAATAGTCCCCACCTGGCATCCTTACAAGAAAGGTTGTTGCCTCCATCCTCAACCTACTAACAGAAAAGTCAGTCCCACCTATAAGATACACTTGAATATGTATGGATTCCTCCCCAGGTAAGATATGAATAGCCTATGCATTTAACTTTCAAGAATGGGTGACAACTGAGGCCAAACTTTGATATCCATGGCCAACTCCATTCCTGTTGGTCTCAAGCATTACAAAATACAGGGCAACTTGTCAATGGGCCAATCTTCACAAACATGGATCTCCAGGGCCAGGCTCCCATTTGTGTACAGGCAAGAGGTTAAAGTGTGCTGAGACACCAAGAGCCCTTTAAATGCCATCTGACCTTTACAGTTACAGACAAGTGTCAGAATCTCCATCCAAGGATGAATGCAGAGAGGAAGGGAGAGGATCCTACAGGTACTGGACAGGGACCAAGAGCACTAAAACTCCAAACACTACTTTCCCTGACAAGACTGTAGATACCATGGAGTCTCAACTTGGTGCCCAATACCAAGGAAGAAATGACCAGGGGGTCACTGGTTCTAACCCCATGGGATGTAATAAGTTGACTCTGGATACCAGTAATATGGGATCCAAGGCCTGGAGACTTACTGGCCTCAAAAGACATTCAATCCTTTTAGAAAATAAGACTCAGGGTGCTATTCATCATGCCTGGGCCCCCTAACTGCCATGGCCCTGACTGACCACTGTACAAGAGAGTGCTGTGCACCAGGAGGGTTTGGGGTAGCAGTGGAGGTTTGGCATATTTGCACTTTTGTCCCTCCTAACTCAGTGACATCCTCCACAGTGATGTAATTCCTATGTGGGAGACAGGCATATCTATACCTATCTACAAATTGCACAGGGATGCACCTTGGCTTACCTGTTCCCTGCTATTCATCTGGCTCCCAGAGAGACTCTCAAATCCCAAGCCAAGGTCCAGATGTTTGTGAACATGGGTCATACTGATGCACAGATGATCATCTGGCACTCTGATGGAGTCTGTCCTCCAGGAGATCCCCTCCACCATGGCTTAGCTATGCTGGACCTCTCAAGCTGACTTTCTCTCTCTCTCTCTCTCTCTCTCTCTCTCTCTCTCTCTCTCTCTCTCTCGAAGACCTTCTCCCTCAGGAACCTGAGGAAAAAGCTCTGAGCCCCTACAGCTCTAAGGCAGGAAACCTAAGAAATTGGGGCCATCCCGGGGCTTATACAAGACTGCCAGTGCTACGTGGGTGGAGCTAAACTTCAGTGCACCAAGGTTTTTTCCTCTCAACTCTCTGCTCCCTCCCTCGTTAAACTCTCTCTTTCAAATCTGACCTGCTTAGGATGAGGTCTGAAAACAGATGGTGCAATGGAAAGTTTCTCTTTAATCTATAAGGGTCCTCTGGCTGGGGCAACACCCTGGTGACACCCAAAGTGTGAAGATGCAACTTCCTGACCCATCCTGAGGCTCCAAAAGTGGCTCAGTATTGGAGACCTCTAGCCATTCAGATCACTACACTTTCCTCACAGTTCCTGTGGCCCAAGAGTGGTGGTCACCCCTTGCTTCCAGATCTAACTGAATAGCAGTGATAACTAATAATCCCTCATGTGTTGAACCTGAGAACTCTCTTTCCCCCAATCCTCAGCTTCTTCTTCTTTCCCAAGTACATCAGGATGAGTGGCCTCCCCCCTTTCTTCTAAACAGCAGTGGGCTTCCTTCTTCAGCCAAGTCTGGGGAAGGTCCCTACATACCCTTTAACAGACACCAGAAAGTTCTACTCTCTAACTTGGGCTTAACTGTTTTTGTCAGGCATCTGGTTGATCTGGTTAAGCAGGTTCCAAAGGGATAGAGACCTCAACTGTCTTCTCCATTTTTGTTCCTTACCATAGCAAAAAAACAATGCCTCAGACACTCCCTCTCTTTTCATAGAAAATATATATATCTCATAGGGTGTATAGGGGGACAAAAGTCTACCTCATCAGGAGTCCCTGTCCACACCTCCACAGGGGTCCTCCCTCTAGCTATGCAAGCCCTCTTGATTACTTTGATAGAGTTGTTTTTAAATTAAACCCTTCAACTGGTAGAGGAGAACCGGGTACCTGTTTCACAAGGCAAACAGGCAAATCAAAATGAATAGATAAAAAAATTGATCAAGGGCACTAAAGTGAGGTGGCTGCAGCTGGACATACCTAAATGTCTTCCCCATTACTTTAACCACAAGTGGCAGTGGAGGGAGAGCATGGGAGAGAGGGACGCCCTCTCCCATGTACAGGATCTCCTCACCTGGGGATGCCTAAGTAAAAGGAGAAAACCTCTGTTAGGGTGATCAGTTTTCCCTTGCTTCCCTTTTTTAGATGCAGAATCAAGCTTCAAGGATCCTGGAAGGATCACCCCTTGCCTGCTTACTAAAACATTGGAAAGACCTTTATCCAGAAAGTCTTCAGTGAAAGTGACTCAAGTTTAACTACGCCCAGGCCGGCCACAATATCCTCTGGGAGGTGGGAAAAAATGACCAGAAGAAGGGAGCATTAATTAAAATACCATTCTTCAATTAGATATACTCTTAAAAAGTAGGGAAAGTGGACTGAAGTCCCATATATTCAACTTTTCATTTTCCTAAGAGACCACCCAAAATGGCTGAGCAAATGCAGGCTAGACACTCAGACAATGGTGACCCTTTACAAAAAGCTCCCAAACTCCCTTGAGGAACCAGAACAACAACAAAAAAAACCACATCTAATGCCCAAGGGCCCCCAATAATGTCAAAGGGGGCCTCCCCGATGGCAGAAATTGAATCTCCATGGGAGCCACAGGGGATCTATCCCACCCTGAGGAGATATGCCCCATCAGCTCCCCCTCTACCCCCTTACCCAGCTACCTCACACCCCCAACATCATCCCATGGGACTCTACCCCTTCCAGTTAATTTCTGGATGGTATAGGGCTCACTTTCCTTTTAGATTAAGTGAACTTAAAGAAATAAAAATGGATTTAGAAAATTACACAGAAAACCCAGATCAGTACAAAACACTGAACTGAGCTGAAAGGATGCAATGCTATTGTTATCCCAGACCCTTACTTCCCTGGAGAAACAGCAAGTATTAGATCAGGCAGCTGCAGCTGGGGATGATTATCACTTAGAAAAATTTGGCCCTACAGCTCTATCTCAGACTGGGCCTTTAAAGGAGGAGGAGAGGGAGGGAGAAGAAAGACAAGGACACTGGATATTAAAAGGGAACCCTGATTCCCAATTCTGACAGGAGATCAGACAGTGCCTAGGGATGATCCTAATTGGGACCCTGAAAATTACAAGGATGAATGGACCCGTAACCACTTCACTGCATTATTGAGGATCACAGGAGAGCTAAGATGAAAACAATTACTCCCAAGTCATGACTGTACACCATGCATGAGATGATTCACACTGAGAAGCCCTATCAGTGTAATCAGTGTGGTGAAATCCTTGGCTGGAAGTCACTACACAACTATCATGAGATGATTCACAATGAGGAGAAGCCCTATAAGTGTAGTCAACATCATAAAAGCTTTGTCTGGAAATCACAACTCACTATGCACAAGATGGTTCACAATGGGGAGAAACCTTACTAGTGTAGTCAGTGTGAAAATCCTTTCACCGTAAGTTAAGCCTCAATAGACATGAGATAATTCACACAGGGGAGAAGCCCTATCAATATAATTTAATCAATAAAACCTTTGGTCAGAAGTCACAACTCACTGATCATGCAATATTTCACACTGTGGAGAAGCCCTATCAGTGTAATCAATGTGGAAAATCCTTTGGGTGGAAGTCAGAGCTCACCAAGCATGAGATAATTCACACTAGGGAGAAGCCCTATCAGTGTGATCACTGTGGAAAAACCTTTGGCTGGAAGTCACATTAAGAAGTATCAGACCACTCACAAGAGATGAGCCTTTGAAGGTGTAAGAGCTTCTTTAGAGATCAAACCTCAGGAAATATCAGAGAATTTACATGTTGAGAAAATCCTCCCAAACTTGGAATGGGAGCCATAGGTGTCTTAAATCACTGTGGTTTAAGACAGAATTGAAGAAAACAGAGGACTTTCTATACTGACCCAGTACCCTCCATTTGTTACATGTGAGAAAAAAAATACCTACTGTATTGAACCATTTTATGTGTGGTCTGTGCATTTAAGCACCCACAGCCACTGTTGCTTACTCCCTTTATGAAATTGGGAGGTATTCCTGAGAGACTCACCCAGTTCATGTTTATCAGAAAATTCAACAGAAGAGATACTTGTGTTGTCATCTTTCATCTCCAAGTCAGGTTTGGGACAATGAAAAAATGTGGGGGCCCAGGAGCAGTTCCACATGGCTATAATCCCAACTTTTTGGGAGGTGGAGACTGAAGGATTGTGATTTGAGGCCATCCTGGAAAGAGTTCTCAAGACCCTATCTCATCTAATAAGTCAGGTGTCAACACACATATACACAGCTGTAACCCTAACTGTGATTGGCATAGGTAGGATTGTGTTCCAGATTGCCCTAGACAAAAACTGAAACCGTATGTGAAAAATAACTAAAAAACAAAGGCTTGGGATATGACTGAAGTGGTAAATGTGTGCCTAGCAAGCTTGAGGTCCTGATCTTAAATCCCAGCACCACAACCACCACCACACAAAATGGAAAAATGCTGAAATAAATTTGGAAATGCCTTTATCAGGGCTATCTCACTGAACACTGAGTAAAGTAATCCTATATTGTTAATACATTCAACCTTTCTTTAAAGCCGTCTTTGTACCAGAGGTGTGGCTGAAGTGGTAGAGCACATGCCTTGCAAATTAATGTGAGAGAGACTGTGAGTTCAATACTCCATGATCACCAAAGTTTTATTTGTATGTATCAAAGAATTTGTAATGGAAGGAAAAGTATCCATAGTGTGTAATATCAATCTAGATTTTCAAATACAAATTTTAATTATAATATCAAAAATATCAAACATTTGATTACATACCAGTAATGAGATGTGAGTGGTGCTACTGCCTGCCAAGATACCTTCTACTGTGTTTGGAGACAATTTTGTTGTGACAACTAGAGGTTGGGAGGCAGTGATGACATCTAGACCCCAGGGTTCAGAGGTGGGGATACAATGTATAGAACACAGAGCAGCCCCTCAAGTATATAAGGTTATGTTTATGAGTATTTTATGGTAAGAATTTTCTTTATTGGGACCCAGAACAACTAAAGGAACAAAATACATATCCCTAGTACAATATTGTGATTGTGATTGGGGTTATTGTACACTCTATTTTCTGTCAAGACTATTTTATGAAAACAGGTTTATTTGCATATTAGTCACTTTCCAATTGCTATGACAAAATGTCTGAGAAAACTACTTAAGGGAGGAATGATTTGGCTCATTGTGTCAGTCCTTGGATCTGTTGCTTCCAGCCCCATGGTGAGGCATGGTATCATGACAGGGGTCATGGTGGTAGAGCACAGAAGCTCACAGACAGACAGAACCCTCACCCTCACAGACACACTCATAAGAGTGCTTCAATAACCAAGGTGTTTCTCATGCCAATGAGTTGACAAGCTTTTCCATCATGATTTTTCTTACAGTTTTGGAGGCTGAAATTCCAATATGAGGTGGTCCCTTAATTTCAGACTCCTGGTTTGGCCATGTCCATGCCACATGTATGGCTTTGTCATGACCCGTTCTTGTGGGAACTGTAAGCTTAGCACTGATTCCCTTTGGGGCACTGTTTTCCAGTCCTAAGTGCATCCACTAGGCCACACCTTTTAAAAGCTCACCACACTGAGATCCTAGCTTCTATGTAGCTCAGGAGCCTTTGTGGGGACACACCATACCGAAACTGTGGTAGTTAGGACTTTTATCATTAAATGTCACTCCAGCTTTATATATTGTAAGGTATATGAAGCAGAAAGTATTGTATTAAAAACTTATTTCTGCTAATGTATATCAATATATGCCATTATTACCATTTTTTTTAAACTTGAGACAGGTCTGAGGCCCAAGTTGGCCTCAAACCTCCTCCTGCCTCAACTTCTCAAGGCCTGGGATTACAGGCACGTGCCACTGCACCTGCCTCCAAATTTTTAAGATTATTTTCACTTATATTCTGCAGCTAATGTAGTTCCATTCATGGGTCTAAAAGAAGCATTATTTTCATTGAATTGAACAAGACAGCCACATAATTGTTAACAGCTTAAGCTTGAATCAGCTTACACACCTGTGATCAGTGCCACTGGTTTCATTCTATTCAGTCAACAGCAATGTCTACAAGTGAATTTCCCCTAGGTTCCTATTCCCCATCCTCCATGGGGTAGCAGTAGAGCTGTTTGTGTGTGTTTGTGTGTGTATGTGTGCTGAGTGCTGTGCATCTGAGCAGCCTCTGCATTTTCAATGATGGTGTGGTGGGCACAGCCCCACTAAGAGAGGCCACACACTAAATTCTGTCTCCATCACCTATGACATCCCTCCTCCCCCTTGCTAGGCTTCTGTTTCTTTATGTTCAAAATGGAAATAAAAATGGAATCTGCATCAAAGAGTCAGTAAATTAGGTCAGTTCTTCTAATATTCCCTGGCACTTGATAAATAGCATATAGTCTGTAGCCATGATGGTGACAATAACTCTCATCCCATATAAAATTACTATATTAAAGTGGTAGCAGTTTGTAACAAATATGTTGGGCTTCACAACAGCCATCTTTACTTTTTTGGCCAACTCTTTTTGTCATTGCAGTACTGGAATTTGAACTCATGGCCTCATGCTTGCTAGGCAGATCATCTACTACATGGTGGTACATGAGCCATTCATTCCTCTTTACTCATTTTTTAGGTAGGGTCACAACTTTTTGCCCAGGACTAGCCTCCACTACAATCCTCTTACCTGGCTCATGTAGCTGGGATCACAGGTGCCAACACCATACCAGGCTTATTAATTGAGACGTACTTGCTCTTTTCCATTGGCTGGCATCAACCCTCAATCTTGATCTCTGCTTTCTGAGTAGCTGCAATTACATGTGTAAACCACCACCCCGGCTTGACAATGTTTTGATTTGGTTTTGTTATCCACTTATACACAGAGATTCAGGGATTTATTTTTGTTTCTCTTTTTATGCTTAACTTTCTTTATGAGTCCTTTTGTTCTCAGTCCATATCCCGGCTCTGTTCAGGGATATAACAGAATTCAGAAGCATTCTCACAAAGGTAAACAGTAGCTATGGAGCACATGGTTTTCCTGTTGGAAGATACAGCTATGTTTTTACATTCTTCTGGTTGCATATTGTGGCCTCATATTTGGGTCTGAGAGTGGTTGTACACACAACATGAATGATGTAAAGGCAACTGAAGTAGCCCACCTGCAGTTGCTATGTTTTGAGATATTTAAATGGGTATGGGGTTTCTCCTGCTGCAGTAGAAAGAGCCAGTATCTTAGCTGAAAATGACAAGGAGTCTGTGAGTCAGAAATCTGAAGATGACTAGGGCAGGTCTCAGAAGTGTGCAATCAAGGTGTCAGCTGGGCTGCATTCCACCTGGAGACTAACCAAAGGGCACTTCTTCCAACCTCCTTCAGGTTTTGTCACAAATCCTTTCCTTGATGACTTAGTCCAAGGGCCTGACTTCTTACTGGTTTTTACTGGAGACTGCTCACAGTTCCTTCTCTGTAGACAAAGCACATGGACTGCTTGCTTCCTCATGACACACAGGGCAGGATTCCACTCTAGTGTGCTAGAATCATCTTGGACTTCACATCATCATGTAAGTCACATTGCTGTACCCTTCCCATATTGTTTGTGAGAGCCATATATCAAGTTATATCAAGTCTCTTCCACACTCTGGAACAGAGGACTTATTTGAGGGTGTGAATTATTAGAGTTCACATTAGGGCATGTGGAGAACAGTTCCTTGTCTTTACAACAGTGATGTTGTGGTTTTCTCTTTCTTAAAATCTTCATGTCAGGTTAATTCTATAACATTTATTCACCTTGGAAGCTTTGAAGATTGTATTTCCAGGGCAGAAGTTCTACTTTTCAGAATATGTTCAAGGATGGCTGTTATATCATTGAGTATCACTCCAAGCATCAAATATTCCATTGTTTGAATGAAATGGATTTGTATATTGTTTGTACACTGACAATGCTTTTGAGGATTTTTTGTACTTGGGGTTGAACCCATCAAAAAAAAAGGGAGCTGGGGTAGTACCTCAAGGCATAGACCCTGAGCTCAAACCCTAGTGCTGCAATAAAAGGAAAAAAGTCCACTGACAGCTCTGTATGGTGTTGCTTGACAAAATTTAGTGTGAGTTGAGTATCTACCTTTCTTCCAGTCTTTATTCCCTGTACTACTTCTTAGGGTCTAATTTACTCCTCACTCCATGTGATTTTCTGCTCAGATTGCCATAATAAAATACCACAGTTCTGTGATCCCCCAAGATTTTGTGTGTTGAAATTTAATCATCTTTGTGAGTTATTAAGATAATAGAAAGTTATCCCAACTATAGTGCTTAGAGGTGGTACCTTTAAAAAGTGATTTGGCATTAGATGAAATCATTGAAGAAATAACCACCATGATTGAATTCTCATGGATTTGTGGGGAGCAGAGAGACCAGAGGAGACACACATAGACCAGGCTGTCTGTCTCTTGTCATGAGTCTGCATCAGTCTAATATTAAGAAGGCTACTGCCATATGTCCCCCTCCATCATGCAGCAACAGAACTGTAGACCAAAATAAACCTGTTCTTTATAGTTTATCCAGTATGTGGCAGAGTGTGTGTGATGGGCAACTGAGAGCCCATCACACACAATCTGTAAGATTTAATCTATGGGTATGTGTGGGACCCAGGGCCTCCCATGTGTCAGGCAAAGTTTTCAAC